TGGGTTGGACTGAGAAAGAGTGATAATGAAGATATAATGTTAAATAGCTATCGCCTTTTAGAATCAACAGTAAAGGAATGAGCAGTCAAGAAATACACGACTGACTGGCACTTGGTAGACCAGCATGAAGGGCTTGGAAAAGATAAGTAAATAGCATGATGTCTCTATACTTGCAAAAGTCAGAATTGTGGGAGGCATGATCTTCCAGTGGCAGTCTGTGTAAACAAAAATTGGACTTTGAAGAAGCAATATAGGAAGAGTTTGATTGAAAAGATTAAATTAAATTAGGGGTTGAAAGGATTTTTGGAATAGTTAAGAGGGAGAGGAGACAATGGGTCTGTTAATATCTGTTGAAGAGAAAGTCATTTTATTTTGTAACTTCAGTTTATTTTTTTCCTTTTTCTTGCACTTTTTCCCTTTTTTGTAGGAAATTCTGGTTCCAATTGCCATTGTAACTCAAGGACTACCTGTAATGTATAACTATCCTTCTATAACCTGCTGCAGTAGGTTCTGGCTGTAATATACTGATAAACAAAACTTTTAATCAGTATCCTGGCATATCAGATAAAGGCAAAACAAGTATAAACATTTTACACTGTTTCTGGACTGGATTAAAAAGAAGTAGAATTAGCAAGAAATTGTGTGATTAGAAGGGGAAATTCACTCCCTTCAGTTTGTGTGATTTCTATATATTATATGTAAAGAAGAAACCAATCAAAGAATGCTGTAATTTTCAGTTTAATTTTTTTGACATGGATGAAAAATCTCTTATATTTCTTACTACAAATTTATTTTATCTTCAGAGTAATATTTCATTTAATTTCCAGCTCAGTGGAATGACAAATGTTTTAATAATTACTGACATATAATAAGATGTATGATTTTTTTCCTTTTCAGTAATATAAGAACTAAAAAATCAAAATTAAGAACAGGACTTTTTAATTTTTCATTGTGTTAAATAGTACATTGAATTCTATTAATAAAATATTTCATTTTTGAAAAGTGGTTTAATTTGTCAGATTGTGCATGAATTTTATGTTAAAACGGTTAGGTCATTGTGAAGGAGGAATGGAATAGAATAGAATAGAATAGAATAGAATAGAATAGAATAGAATAGAATAGAATAGAATAGAATAGAATAGAATAGAATATTCTTTATTGTCCAAGTGTGATTGGACACACAAGGAATTTGTCTCCAATACATAAACTCTCAGTGTACATACAAACAAAGTTATATAATCATAAGATACCAATAGGAAAAGGTAATAGGAAAGATGAGAACGATAATAGTAGTACAGTCCTACTACAAGAGCAAAAGTCCTTGGTCATAAGACAGTGCTGTGGGAATTAGGTGTTCAGCAGAGTATGTCTAGTTGTTTTGGCATTCAATGCCTTATAGTGGCATCCTAAAGGGAGAGTTGGAACAGTTGAGTTCATATTTATTAAACAATTTATTTAGAAATCCATTGTTGTAGGTAACTTATTTTTAACCATAAAATTAACATTGCCAGCAGTTAGTCATTTTTATCACCAAGTCTTAATGGTAGTGAGATGTATTGCTACTCAGTTTCCCATAGTTTGTACCTTTCAACTCCTTTGGTGCAAAGGATTTTGATACAATTAGAAATTTGCTTCTCAAAGTTTCCATAAAAATATATCTGATTTTCTTCATTTTCCCATTAAAGCTTGGGAATGTATCTTATGGTTTCTTTGCCTCTACTTGAAGTAACTAGTGTTGTAAACCAAGTTTGCCAAAGTGCATAAGATGGTATTTAACAGGTCTGATGTTTTTAACCTCATTTAATACAGCGTATAATACTTATGTGAAAGTAAACTTTATGTGAGAATAAACTGAATTCTTAGTTAATTATCCAACATTGAACACATAGTAAAACAAGGATATGTGATGTCCCTTTAATTGTTTAATATTTATGGATAACTGTATAAGAAATGCTTCAAATGAAATTACATTTTTTTATTATGGATGTGAATGCAAATGTTCCTCTGTATACAGAAAATGTCTTCCGGGTATCTGAAAATTGAAATAAAGCCAGACTAGAAAGAAAACCAATTGATTTAAAATTAAAATACTGTATTTGCATAACTCTGGGATAATAACCTTTCCCATTGGACTTTGGGCAAATTGCAAAATATCTAACTCCTCGAGAATGTAGGTGGGCCAATTTTTTACTTTGGAATGTATTAAATTTATATAATATTCTGGCTTTCCTCTAGGAATTCATGTTGATGTATATAGCACCTCCTTCTCCATTTCCCCCACAAATCCCTGTGTGATAGATTGAAGGATAGTAACTGTATCAAAATTATCGTGAACTTTTGTGACCAAAGGAGACTACATCATCTGGCACTGAAACGATATAGTCAGGAAATTAATGGACCAAAATGATTTCTTGAGAAATTACCAGTTTGTACAATTGATAATTCCCTTGACTTCTGGCACACAAAAATAACCAAGAGTATTACATACAATTACTCTGTAGCAGTCTCTATTCCCAGCAAAGTTTTTAGAGCCCATGGTTTACCATAGGTATACAAACCATAAGATGGGAAGAATAGTACAGATCTATGTTATGCAAAGAAAGCCCCCCTCCCCATTTTTGTTTTTGTTACAAAGGACAAAACTAGTGTGAAAAATGGTAAAAAAGATTGAAATTGAGACACCTCAGGAATATGGGGGGGGGGTTATTGAAATTGTGATACAACCTTCAAAGCATTGTATGGCTATAATAGCTACTGCTGTCTACATAGTCAGTAGCTACTCTGAACACCACAGAGTTCCCTCTTATCATTTTGATTGGCTACTTTGGTTTATTTAATTGTATATTTCTCAGCTTATTATTATATATGTGAAGAGCTGTGAGAATGAAGTATTTGCTTCGTAGGTGGATAGAAAATTTTATTTATGTATATATACTTTAGCACCAGGATTTTCTAATTTTTTGTGTTCAGTCTTTTTGATTATGCAGTGTTTAATTGTATTGTAATATCTATTAGGACTGAATATGATCTCTGAGAATAGCGTTTTTTAAGAATGTGGTCCAAGAACATCTAGGGCAGTGGTGGCGAACCTCTCTGTGGGCACGCACACTGTCGCCCAACCCCACTATCCCCGTGGCCCCCTCCACACCAGCAGCCTCCCCGAGGAGACTCACCCCGGGCGCAGCCTGCGCAAAGCACCACAGCCAAGGACATGACAGCCAGGCAGTGGGGACAAGACCCCACCCTCGTGCCCCATCGTGTACAGATGATGCTGCAGGACAAAGAGAGCGTGGCTACCATTATGCTGAGGGGCCACCTGGGCAATCTGCTGTGGCAGGCCGTGGAGGGTGGCCCTGCGGGCAGGAGAGGCAGGGTCGGGATAGGCGAGGCAGTTTTTGGGCACTGGGTCTCTAAAAGGTTCGCCATCACTGATCTAGAGAATCTTATAGATGAGGTCTGTAAAATCAAAATTATTTGCCAGATATTGAAGTCATTTGCATACTTCGCAAGCAACATCACTCCTTTCATTATTGTTTTTTACTTGTTATTGTAAATGTATTGTTACTTTCACATGATTCAATAAAAATATTCTACAAAAGTGTCAATTTTAATTGTTAATATGGTAAATACTAATAAGTATAATCTATATAATCAAACGCTCTTTTGGGATTCTTCATAGTTTTTAAAAGTGGGAAGGGTTTATGAGAGCAAAAACTTTAAAAAGCACTGCTTTAAAGAATAATAGAATAAAAATAAGGACAAATGTAATTACCTGGTGAAAATGTTGATTTTAGCATAGTAAAAAGATAGGTTTTTCCATTTTTCTTAGAACTGATGAATACTATCTATTAACATGATATACTGTCTAAACAGAATATTCTTAAATGGAGTCACTGTAGACCAAAATCCTTGAAGAAAACTGAATAGCCACTGAATAGTCACCCTTAAAGTTTAAATTGTGGTCTTTTTTTTTAATGTACAACAAGAATGGGCAAATCATTTTATATTTGTAATGTTGCATTTTATGCTTGTAATATTACCCTAAATGGTAATTAATATTGATAATATTAATATTGATAATCTTTCATTTCTCTATTTTTAATGCTGTAAGCTACCTAAACAGTAGAATGTTAACGTCTAATCATATCATACAACATTACTGTATACCATTTTTTACAATGTCATTTTTATAACAATATGATAAAAGAATAAAAAATGTGGGCAATCATTAGCTCCTGAACTAAATTTTAATGGAGTGTCTAGCCATCTCAGATTTCAGCACAGGACAAAACAACACTTCCTACTGATTTATTTTTGTCCATCTCTACCAAAGACCCCTCTTTAGTCTACCCAGAGCCCCCAATTTATTCTATCAAGGAAGCTATTTTTTCTAGTAGGATATTGAAATGTAGATTCAAGAAAGGGAACAACAGCATTAGTACCCCATCAACTGATCCCAACAACAGTAATTTAATTTAATTTAATTTCAGTTTGCTGTTACGATGTATTAATAAAATGGCCTAAAGATAGGATCTGTAAAAGACTATTCAGGATCAATATCTAGGGTTTTTGTTTTGTTTTGTTTTTTTAACAGAGAAATGAGGGTAATCCTAACCTGTTGCAAGTCCCAAAAAACTTTTGTATCTTGTAAACAGGTATTCGAATTTAATATATATTATACTCAGAGTATGATGAACTGGCCTTTAAATCAGGTTTGTTGTTTTCCTCCACTGAAAAAAGACAGATTACTTGATTTAATTTTCACAGATGTTTACATTTAAAATTTTACATGCTACTTAACTAATGCTAGCTATATAATATTTTCCCTCTTGTAAACTTGCATTATTTAAGTTCATTATTTTTAACTGGTTTTACGGAACGTTTTAATTGCTGGTTTTATTATACACCACCCACTTTATATGAGATGGCAGCCATATAAATTTGACAAATAAATAAAAGTACAGACAAATAAAATATTATTTTTCACCTTTTCTTTTTAGGAAAATGGCTCTCCTGAAGAACATGCAATTTATGTGTGGGACCACTTTATCTCCCAGTCGTTAGCTGAAAATGTATTTGTTGTTGCTCATAGTTATGGTGGATTGGCATTTGTGGAATTGGTAAGTTAATATCATTTTGTGATTCCATATATTGCTTTGAACATATATTTGCAATAATTAGCCTTTTCTTTTGTTTTACGATATATACGCTTGCATCTTAGTCTTTTGTAAGTAGAGAGCATATTCATTTTTGTTCCTTTGCTAACTAGAAAGATGTCAGCAATTGGATAAACTGAAGAAGTGAATCTTAAAATTCTGTTATAGACTTGATTTCAAACAATACTTGTCTTGTTTATTTATTTAGCAAATATAGTTGTCATCTTGAGCAAATAACTCTGGTTGGCTCACAATAAAATAACACAAAAATAAATAAAATAAAATAAATGAAACATAAATAAAAACAATAAAAATAGCATAAATGCAAATAAAATTAATAAGCCCATGTGGAATGCAAAATACCAAAGACAAAGCTCCTTAAACATAATCCTCAATCAACATATAATCAACATAATCTACTAAGAACCTGGCCATTATGCTTGTGAGAAAAATAAGGGTTTTACAGACTTCTGGAAACCCAACAAAATCAGGCCAACTGAATCTCTAGGGGAGGATATTTGATAGGCTACGTGCCACAATAGAAGCAGCTTCTCCTGAGTCCCAGAAGATGGAACTGTTTCCCTGAGTAGACCCAGAACCTACCCACTCTGCTCAATAGATAAAAACTTATATGTAAAATATATAAATGTCTGTTCTTTTTTCTCTTTCACTTTTGTAATGCTTCATTGATGACATTAACTGTGTAATTTGAATTTTTCTATCCTTCTATGCAAAAAAATGAAATAAATACTTATACAAGTACACGATATATACATTATTTTTTATATAAAACATAAGAGAAATACAGCATTAGGAGTAACAAAGCTTTCTAAAATAATCAAGATGTTTAGTGTAAACAGCTTTAATAAGTTTAATAAGTTTAAACTTAAGCTCACTTTTAATATAGAAAAATACTGCCATAGTTACTAATATTGCTATATCATTTATATAGATAGAAATTACAGTACAGCTTTAAAACTCATTCCTGTTTTGATGTTGATTTAAGATACGGTTGTTTTTTATATAGAGAATTAACCCTGTTAAATCATTTATGTTAAAACATTTTTTCAATTATTCTTTGACTACATAGTAAATGAGATGAGATGAAATGAGAGAACATAAAAGATTTTGCTGTACTTGTTTGCTGGAATTTACTAAACTAAATACATAGGCAATACATAGTAAAAGTTTCATTTTATAATTTTAGTTATCCAATACTTGCATCATCCAATAACTATAGTTTTTTGTGCAATGATGAAATCATTTAATATACTAAAACACATAAAAGTGTATATAAATACTTTGAAAGCCAACAATAAAAACTGAAGGACTAAGTTTGCCTTGGCTTCCAGTGTTTGACAAAATTATCCTTTTCAAAATGTTACATGCTGTTCATGTATTATGAATTGTGGATAGAAAAATATTAATTATTGGATTAATGACATAAAGATTTGGTTGACATGACTAGCTATTTTTATGTTTACATTTCTAATAACCAGGAAATGATGTCTAATCAGTAAGCAACTGAAATGCAATCCCTTTTATTTAAATTTTGAACAGCATTATAGATGACCCGTATGATTTTCAAATTTTTGTTGTAATCTTTAATTTTAGTTTAATCTTTTTAAAGTAATATAAAAAAATCTGTAAGGAAAACATATAAAATACTGGATATGATTATTTATGGATTCAAGTGTAAGAAATGTTTTGAATTTGTATTGTTTCTCCCATTACCATCCCTCTATCCATTTGTAGCTCTTGGCTTGAGATAGCATGGCTAACAGATGATCAATGTGTCATTCCCATTTTGCTTGTTTCTCTTGTCATGCTGGTGGATATCTCTTCACTTTTGTTCTTCTTTAATATAACGCTTACAGATGTTTCAGAACACAATTTGACTTCTGACCTTGGGGCTTCTAAGGTCAGGGTACTCAGGGCCTGTGAAATTATCACAAGCAGAGCTAAAAAAAAAATTTCCCCATTGCAGAAAATAAGCAATAAGTAAGAAGTTAAAAAGGAGCTTTGTCAGATAGACAAGATGGTCTCAGTAAGGGTCAGCTTCTATAGTCTGCTGTCTCGGCAGGAGGCATGTGCATGGGAAGAAGAATTTAATATATAATTCTGGCACATCATGAATCTATCACAATGCAAAACTAGATCTAAAGAATAAATTTGAAAGAAGAGTAGGTTTAAAGTCTATATATGCTATGAAAGGGAATCAATACTCTTAATAAGGATTGACAAACATTAAGCAGCCAGCAATATCTGGGGTTTTTTTCCTCTTACTTAAAAAAAACTATAGATGCTTACTGAATAAAGCATATACTTAACAATGTAACCACAGTGACTATTTAAAAAAAAATCAGCTAAAGACAATTAATAGGAAATGAACTTCTTCCTCTAAATAAAACCCATGTTTTAAAAAATGTGATTCTTGTATATCACAAATATTCCAGTGTCCCTTACCAAATAATAATACTAAAGAAAAAAACTTTTAAAGAAGGCCTAAGTTTAAAAAAAGCAAGAGTACATAGGAGGAGGAAAGAGAAATCAGGCATTTGTATGGATAGCCTGGAACTTGAGATAGTGTCAGGACAACTGAGGTTCAGCAAGAAGCTTCTTCATATATCTCCCAAGGAAGAGAAAAACAATCTGATTCTTAATATTTACAGGCATCAGAGGAAAAGGAAAGCTACTTGATTTCAATTTTGATATAGTTTTCTACAATAAGAGGCTTTGTAGGAAGTAAACCGATGTCTTATGTAGCTGGAAGTGCTGGTAACATAAGGTCTGAATAGAGTCCTTGAGATGTGATATCTAGCTCTGATGATTTTCATCCTTTAAACAATGGGGATGGCCTTGGTTTCCTGTTTTGCATATTTTGGGATGTAGATAGAAGATATCAGATTGTTGCTGTAGAAATGTTTCCATTAGATAGTTTTATATGAAGGAAATTCTGAAGAAATTATTTTATCATATTGTGTACTTTTTGTATGTTGTACTGAGATCTGAGGATTAAATTTAATCAAATATGATGTTAGAAAGTGGCCTTTCAGCATAATATACCTTATTCCTAATGACAGCTTCTTTAATTATAATGTCATAAGCATTCTTGTATATCATCTCCTCCTGCCTTGCTGAGATTGTTGCATAAGGGAAGTATTTATTGATGTCTGTGGTTTGAATTTGGTGAAAGAATTCAATATAGAAATGCAATTTATTGTTAACATCTGTCTGGAAGTATCCACACAAAATTAACTTTTTTATGCTTTTGAAATCTATAGTTGTGTGTTATCTCAGGATTGACAATGGATGTATGTCTGCCTTGTGTCTTTTCTTGCAAGTATTCCTTAACTCTTATGGGGTAAAAAGTGTGCTTCAAAATCCTCAGAGTTGTATATTTGGGTGGGGGGAAGGAGGCTTACTGAGGTAAAATGATAAGCCTCGTGCAAGAATTGACTCTTCACAGTGGCTGAATGTGTGATTGGATAGATTCACAGTATTACAGGTCTGTGGATAGAAACCTTAAGACATCATCTTGGCCATGGGTGTCAAACATGATGAAACTGGCTTGTGGGCTGGCAGGTTGACACCCCTGATCTAGGCCAACCTCTGCTCATGGCAGGATCCATTAAACATTCAGACTCCAATGAAGGAAAACTTACAATTTTATGTCACAATTTATTTCACTGGTTGACATATCATACAGAGAGGAAGAGCCTGTTAATGTGTAGACCAGAGGTCCTCAACTCCAGTCCATGGACCAGCAACTGTTCCATGAAAACAAGCAAAACCTTACAGTATGCAGGCAGCATGCAAAACCACGCCCCCTCCAGCCCACAGAAAAAAACCTTTCTCCATGGAACCAGTCCCTGGTGCCCAAAAGGTTGGGGAGGGTCTGGTATAGACTATATCTACCTCCTTAGTTTTATCTTGTTAGTTCAAGTTCTACCCTGTATGACAACAAAGCATAACAAATATCACTATTACAGGTATTCCTTGCTTACCACTTATTCACTATTTTATAATCTGTTCTCCAGTATTGAAAGCAGACTAATCTCTAATTCTCATTAGAGAATTTTTACAAATATACTCTGCATTACTCTTGGACTTGAGTTTCAACTTTATGTGTACTTAAGGTTAATATTATTAATTATTAAAATAATATTATAAGAGATGGTAATACCAAAAAAATCCTGTGCAAATGTGTGTGAGAGAGAACTTCTTAATTTTGAAATATCACACTTCAGCCCTGACCCAATACAGCTTAGATTATCACCTATACTTGCAAATAAGTAAACAATGATGGAACTGCCATCCAGAAAGAGGATTGGGCCTGGGTTAACTTCTGAACAAGACTAATGATAATCTTCTATATGTCATTGCTAAACCAAAAATCAGCATGCAGAAATAATCATGAATAATATTTAGGCTAAATAGGTTTTCTCATCTTTTATCCAGCAATATGAGTGAATTACTGTAAACTGTAGTTTTACATTGGCCTATTTGGACAAATCATAATTAAAGTTAATCATAATTTCACCCAGTTTGCATATAAAGACAAGTCAGAGATAATTCTAAACAAGGAACAAATGCTTCTGATTTCCTTACAACCAGATGGGTTCATTCCTGTATAGTAAAACATGACCTAGTACTGTAACCAAATGAGGCCAGGATGCAGCAGTTTCATATATTACACATTATATGTATTGTTCTTTCTTGTTAGATTCCAATGATAAATCCACTTTCACTTCTTTTTTGAGAGGTACAGGAAGTCCATACTTAATTATTACAATTGTGACTAACAGCTCCATTGCTAAATTGTTAAGTGAAACATCATGATACTGTGCTGGACTTACTGATATTAGTTCCACTGCAGTAATTAAACACTGACCACAACCTGTGACTTTACCGCTGGCTTCTTTGTTGATTTTGTTTTGTCAGAAGCCAGCTTTGAAGTGTGC